GATTTTATATTAAAAAACCGGTTATCGGATCTTTAAAATTTTTTTTTAAAACTGGTTACTAAATAAATGGACTAAAACCGAAGACTGAAAACCGGTTTTGAAGCACTACTTAACAATTCATTATAAAACACGAACTTTATATAGCAAACTCACTCTATAATGAACAAAATATTCAAGAATAGCTGATTTGTTATATTTAAAGTCAACTGTATGTTAAAAATAAGTAAATTTTACTTTTTGATTTAAAAATAATATTATAAATATTTTTTTTGATTTTCTTTATAAACGTAAAAATTTATATAAATTTTAAGTAGATAATTAAAAAAAGAAAAATCAGTTTTATAAAACAAATAATAAAACTTAATTAAAATATTTTAAAATAATTCTATATAAAGTTTTTATTTTATCTAACTTTAAAAAAATTAATTGTTTCATAAAAATGTTTATTATACATATTCTTTTTTTATATACACACTCTTTTTTTATTTTTTTTTTAATTATTTTTTTTTTGTAAAAAAGTTTTCATATTTTTATAATAAATTTTTAATAAATTTATAAATATAGATTCAAGTTTTATTAAAATAATCAAAAAAAAGAAGAGGTGTTACAGAAAAAAAGTTGGATATTGAATTAGTTTATATCTAATAATTTATTCTAATCAAATGATTTTTATATCATTTTTTGAAATGATATTTTATCATTCTTTTAAAATAATGCTTTTATTTTTCTGATTGAATGATTCTTTTATCATTTGTTTAGAATAATGCTTTTATTATTTTAATTAAATGATTTTTTTATTATTCTTTTAAAACAATATTTTTATTATTTTAATTAAATGATTCTTTTATCATTTATTTAAAATGATATTTTTATCATTCTAATCAAATAATATTTATCATACTTTTAAAATGAACCAATCAAAATTAAACTGAAGTTAAAAATTTTTAGATTAATTTTTTACTTTATTAAGTTTAAGTGTAAATTTTAACAAATAGACAATTATAGTATTTGTAAATATTACATTTTTTTTTCAAAAATTATATCATTTATTATGTATTTTATTCTCACAGTATTTTTTTTTTTGCTTTACATTTCAGGATTTTCATTCACTTATACCTTTATTATACATATCATGATCTATTAAAAATTAAAAATAAAATGAATATAGTGATTTATTTACATCTAATAAATATATAAAAGATGATTATTTAAATTTAATAAATCTGATAATAATTATTCTGAAAAAAGTGATTATGATTCTGATAGATTTATGGATCAAAGAATAAAGTGCTTGTCTGAATTTAAATTAATATGAACTAATAATGCAGAGTTTGAACAAAAAAAAGAATACCATATATTGGTAATTCAATAATAATATATTATCATAAATATGAACTAAAAAAAAAATTTACAGTAGCAGCAAAAGGGATAAAATTATTTACTAATTTTTTTAAATCAGTTAAAGATGAGCTTGTTATAAATTTAACAAATAATTAGAATGAATAAAATAAATCTGATACTGATATAGTTTCAGATGATAATAATATATTAGTTTATATAGATAATTCAAATTATTAAAATTTAATTAAAATAAATAATTTAAATCAATTTACTTTAATAGATGATAATGTTGTATTAGAAAATGAAGATATTGATGATGAAATAAATAATAAAAGTATATCAGAAAAAGAAAGTATAGCTAATAAAATATAAAGTATTAATAATAATAATTTTGATCTAAAATTACAAAGATTGAAATGTATTATTTCAGATAATCAAAAAATTAGATAATGTATAATTATTTGAAATATTGATCTATATATACATATTTTAAATATTAGAAAAAAAAATGGTTTGACATAAATCAAAGTAAGTAAAAAGCATTAAAGAAAGTTTATAATAAAGAAGTTTTTAGGTTTAGGATTATTCATAAGTTAGGTAATTATTGAATTAAATATGATTCATTATTTATTTTATTATAAGGTTGTCATTAAAAAACTAAGTCATTAATTGATAATAAAAATGGCATTAATTGTAATTTAGCATATATTTATACTAATAGTAAAAAAATATTATTTAGAGAATATAAAGAATTTGTAATGACAAAACTTTTTCTATAGATAAGTATGATAACTACACGCAAATTAATATTAATAAAAATTGCAAAAATATAGGTTTATAAGTTAGGTTTAGCTCTATAATCATGAATTAAAGGTATTTACTTTGATAAACATGAACGTGATAATGTATTGCAATATTGTGAAAATTTTTTAGAAGTCATGATGAATTATAAAGGATTAATACTAACATTTATCGGTAATGAAATACAAATAATTCTTCTAGAATTTGAAAGTAAAAAAAAATTACATATTTTAATTATATATAATAAATATCTTTTTATGTTAATAATAATCATCTAATTATTTGAACTTCATTAAGTAAACTATTATTTTGAAAAAAATTAAGAAAAGTCTATAATAACTAGTAAATTTTTATTGAAAACTATTAGAAGACTTAAACTTAATGATGAACTTGTTACAAATTATTCAAATATTTCTAAAGATATAAGAAGATATTTATATTCAGATAAAAATAAAAAGAGTTAATAGATAGCAGAACATTTTTTAAATCAAGTAGTAAATTCAGCAATTCCAATTTTTAATATATTATATTTTAATACAATAGCAGTTTTTGCATTTGATAATAATACTAATTATGGTATTATGATAAAAGATAAATTAATTACTTTTAATATAAATTTAAATCCAGAAGGTAAAAAATTATGTATGTATAAAACTTATTTTAGATCAAATAAAACATTATAATCTATGGTTTTTTACATAATCATCTAAAATATTCAAATCAACCAAAAGATTTAAAACAAATTTTGATTAAAAAAGGTCTATAAAGAAATAATTTATTAGCTGATTGTAAATTATATAAAGGATAGCAAATGCAAATAGAACAGATTATTATACACATAAAATTTTATCATTATAATCAGATTTTTTAAGGAAATTGAAAAATGTGATTACAAATATATATTTTATCCTAAATATTATTATGAATTAAATTATATAGAGATGTATTAGATATAGCAAAAAGATATACATAAGAATATTGCAACTATACATGAGTTAAATTACAACAATTGTTCCTAAAGCATTAAATTCAGTTTTTTTAGTTACAATTTGAAAATATACGCAAAAATTATGGTGATATATAGATATTTATAAAAAAAATATTACTGAAAAAATGGTAGAATTTGCAATTAAAAAATATAAGTCTCATCATCATGTATCTGATATAATTTATAATAAAATAACAAAATAAAATAAAATAAATTGTTTTATATAATATTTAAATTCTAATTTTTGATTAGCTTATATATATACAGTAGGCAACAAAAAAAACGTAAGTGTATCTTAAGACATAACCAAAGAACAAGTGGAAGCATTTATGAAAGAAATGAGAGAAATTGGATTTATAGAGGCGTCAGATCCAATGAATGTATCACCAATACTTGCCAAAGAAAGTCGTGGCAATTATCCAAGTGATACGATTCCAAAGGAATCCACCTAGAAAAACGAATCGACATCTACCGAAAGCCATTTAACATGCGCCAAATGTTCTGAGAGACTTTTGACCTCGCCCAGATCTTTCTCGAAACCGACTGTATTTTTACCCTATAAACATGTCGTGCATTACAATTGTATCAATAATAAACAAAAGCTGTCACATCATCTAACAGTAATGCTGAAAAAACTTATCAAAGAGTTATTAACCAATAATTCCAATAATGGAGTTTTGGAGGAATTGAATCCAACTAACTATTTTCATCTCTCAAATATGATAGACCAAGCCGAAGCAAAAAGTGAGGCTGCAACGGAAATGTTATCAATCGGTATTTTGACTTTGGAGAATCTTTGTATTTGCGATACAAGGAGTTAAACCCAGCTATGGTAAGAATGGAGCTAATGCTCTCGTTAAAGAAGAAATTAGGAAACAAACCGAAACAAAATTTTCTGATTTTGTATCAGGTAATAAATGCGTTTTATCATTTCCTGCGCCACATTACTGCGCCAGATGGACATTTTTGAATAATAAAAGTAGGTTTGAAAACTAGTATAGTCACATTTCGCCATTTGTACTAACAGTTATTACTATTTTCAAGTTTATACGCTTGGGACTGGTTAGAAAATTTAAATAAAGAAAAATGGACGAAACAATTGATAGGAGAGTTCGTAGAACCCTTCAGGTATTTATTCTTTGCACTATTTTGAATATAGGTATAGCTAACGAAAAATTTTTATGAAATCCAAGACAGAAGACCTCAGTATATACTCCGTTTGGTTTCCAGAGAAGGCCGATAAAGCCGTCCCACTGTCGACCAATTCCGATTATAACCATATGGACGCAGTAGCCCTTCTTTGGACGATGAAGATGAATGCTTTCGAGGAAATGGAGTTTCAAGACCAAAAAAAGTATCTCTGCAGGATGCTAGTTATCTTGGCCGACAAAATTACGATGATGAATACGAGAAAAGCGTATCGCCCATCAGCAGTAAATGTAACTATTTCGGCGGCGGAAAAGGGAAGGAACATAAAATTTATGTTCGGGAGTTCAATTCGCACGTCAGAAAAGAACAACCAGTTAATAGCACTGTCGAGGGCGGAATCTATACCGATACTAAAGTAGTGCCATTCGAATGTTGCCCAAACAAGGAGAGAATCCGCTCGTTGCTACCATACTTGGGGAAATTGCGTCGAAACGGTACCTTGGCGGGCCATGCATGGACTAAAGAAGAACCGAAAACACCGTGTCGTCTTGTGGTCCCAGACATTCAATGTGTCAGAGAGAGAATTTCGAAGACAATGTCCCCTGTGCCGGAGGGTGAGGAGCAGGATGAATATCGAGAAGTTAGCAATAATTCGAGGAATCCGCTAATGATTGTTGAAATGATCGCAAATAAATTAGATCGTAAACGCGTTGCAGAGTCTCTTAACTGTAAATTCGAAGGTGGAGAACCTTCTAGCTTATTTGTTATATGGAAGATGTTAAAGAATATTATGATTTTGATAATATCATCATCATCGGGAAAATTCATGCTGGAATTATTTTCTGGACTGCTACAGTCGTGTGTTTGTATGGGAATCAATGAATTATGCTTTGTGGCTGCTTGGGGATTATCGTAATGAGGCAACAAAAGAATAGCCGTCCAGTATGGGGTTTAGATTTCGATGGGTCTATTATTAAATCCAATGAAGTCGTGATAAATACGAATGATATGTGAAGGTTTTGTTCATTTTTTTATCTTAATTTTTAATTTTTATAATTAGTTTCTTTTTTTCCCAGAATCACCAAACGAATATTGTACCTCTGTTGCACCTGTTATAAAGAAGAAGGATAGTTCGAAAAAAAAGAAGTGTTAAAAAAAAGTAACGATGATATGGTTTCTATGTTACGTTTTGATGTGTACTTTCAGATTCAATTTTAATTTGTTTGCTTTTAAGTGGTGTTTATGCTATATTTTCTTACTGATAATTACCATTGGCCAGAGATAACTGATTACTAACACACAGCTTAGTTATATATAATGCTAAAATTTACTCAAAAATTAAATGTAACATTTACTGCGTCAAATTTTACAACATGCTACGTGAACTCCTCATCGAAACAAATAAACCGTATCGTAACACAATTCCCTGCCTATTCTGGATTGTGCAAAATTAAATAATGATGAAATGGCCGAATGCGCTTTCAGTATTACCACCAAGTTTTTCACCACCACGTGATCATAGAAATATTTGTCACCCCGCGTCACACCCTCCGCGTTTTCCATTCTCATAAGTATTCTGCGAACTTTGAATTCTTTCAGGGGTGTGAAATAATATTTGTCACATTTTATTCGTCACATAGTTAATTTCTCAATGCCGTAATGCCGGACAAAGTCACGTGGAATGGAAAACTTGGTGGTAATACTGGGTAGCTGGGATCTCATGATTATATATAAAACTGAAATTAAAATGATCAAAATGGTTGCTTTTTTAATATAATAAAAAAAATCAATATTCTTAAAGTTTTAAAAGCCTCACGTAATTTAAAAAGTAAATAAAGAAATTAAGATCTATTTTAATATAATAAAAAATCAATATAGTTCCTGAGCTTTAGAAAGACCCACATACATATAATGGCTATTTTAAACCTTTGATTTCAAAACCCTTACTTTCACATTATGTGTATCTTATTTTACATAAAATTATAAAATCTAATATTAAATTTTAATAGATCAATATAATGAATAGTAGTTGTTTTATAGAAATTAAAATGATGTTAAATAAAATTCATGAATTCTTATAAAAATTTAATTTATCTTCTATAAAATTAGATGATCCAATAGCATCTAAAATTCTAAACATTTCTGAAAAGTAAATAAAGTAATAGATAATTTATCAATAGTAACATAACAAATTCTTATAAATGTTAAAATAAATGATTTAGAATTATCAGAGAATGTGTTAATATATATAATTTATTAGAATCTAACTTTAATCTAGCTTTTGCTAAACCTATTTCATTTTACAAAATGAAAATAATTTAGGTAAGTATAAAACTTTATTAATAATATTTGACCTAATAGAAAAATTATAAATGTGAATATATTAATTAAATTTTGTTAAATTTTTGTTAAATTAATTAATTAAGTTTAAAATTTAATTTAAAAGAAATTATTAGAATTTAAAATTATTTATTAATTGAAATAAAGTATAGTGAAAAATTTTATATAATTTATATAGTCTTTAGAGTAATAGATCTAATATTTAATTATTATAAATAAAATCTTAAATACTCATATTATATAGTTTATAAATAGAATTTTAAATATTTATAGTATATAGTTTTGAAAATTTAGTTTTATTATTTTTTAATATTCTCATAATAATATATTTTATTTTATCATTTTTAGAAAAAGAATATCTAATTTATCAATAAAATAAAAAAAAGTTGATATATTCTATTCTTTTAAAAGACAGACCTAATTTGCAAATTCTTTTAAGACTTGATTCTAATAAGTAAAAATTAGTATTTATAGAAATTTCAAAAATTAATTTTTTGTTTAAATAAACAGAATTATATTAAAAAAATTAAATCATTTATGTAAAAATAAAATTGACTCAAAATTGAATGAATTATTTAAAGAAAAAAATGTTAAAATTAATAAAGTAAATGTTTAAATAAATGAACTTCTTTAAATATTTTTATAGGAGTTTAAATAATAAATAATCAAATATTAGTTTTTAGAATCAACTTTTTAATAATTTTTTTTATAAATTTTTTAAAATTTTTAAATATACTATTCCTTTTTAAGTTTTTAACTAATAAGTTATTAATATTATTTGAAAGTAATATTTAATAAACTTATTGAAATTAGAAATAGAATTGATTATAAAATAAATTTTTTATTTTAAAATATTCTACATATTAATCTATACTAATAATCTTAATAAATTGAAAACTATTAAATTTATTAAAATATATTTGCTTATAATTATCTTCTTTATTTTATTTATTTTTTAAACATAAGCAAATATATGACTTGATCTATTATATTTATTATAATAAAATATTCTACTTCACTAAATATTTTTTCTATAATAAGTCTTTAAGATATATTTATATAATGTGCATCTATATCAATTATAATGTTAATCTAAAATATAATAATATAATATTAATTTCATAAATAAAATTAAATTTAATTTTAATAATTTATTTACTACATTTGAATAATTATTTTTATTTTTATTTTACTTTTTAATATCTATTTAATATTAATAATATATTTATCTTTATTACGTAATTTATCATATTTTATTATACTTAAAGATATCTACAATATATATATATTATATTATTGTTATGTTAATTATTTAATAAAATATAATATATATTAAATAAAAAAATATTATTTCAATTTAATTTGTATTTAAATTATAAATAGTAAAATAAGTTTTTTTTTGATTTTTTTAATTCTGTTAAAGTTAATAAAATTTATATTTTTTATATAAAAAAAATAATATAAACTTTATAAAATAGCTATTCCTTTATTTTTTTTAAAAAAAATATGTTCATAAAATTTTATTTTATATTTAAATAATTAAATTGTTTATTTAAAATAATATTATTTCAAAAATTTACATAAAGATATATTTGTGATTTAATTAATAAAATTAGCATTATACATATTCTTTTCATTAAAAATTATAAATATTCTTTATTAAGACAAAATATATTTAGCAATATATAATAAGTAATAAAAGTAATTAAAAATATATTTGATTAATCTCTTAATCAATCCTTATATAAATACTATAATTATATAAAAATAATTTATCAATTTTATAGTAAGTAATTGTATATTTATATATTTACTTCAAAATATAATTACAAAAATTCTTGAATTTTTTCAATAATCATAATGTTTTCTTTTTTAAATTTATTTATATATATAGATAAGTAGTTATAATAAATTTATTTTATCCTTTAATATATTTATAAATTTCTTTTATAATTTAAAATTTAAATTTAAAACAATTTATAATAATATAATTTTATACCTATCAGGTAAGTTAAATTTTTAGTAAAGTATTAAAAATAAAGTAATTTATTTTACCTATTCTTTACTTTATATATAATATTATATTTAGATATATTTTAAATAGTATAAGATAAAAATTAGTAAAACATATTTTAAACAGTAATTATTTTACATTATAGTAAATTTTCTTAAACTAATAATTAGAATTAGTAATCAATGTAGATAATTTGATTTGTAATTTTGATTTATAATATTTTATTTATAATAATTTATATAAATCATAGATTTTGATTATTAATTAAAGTAATATATTAGCATAGAAAGTTTTAAAAGAAATAATTATTAATTAAAATTTATAAATATAAAAATAATTATTTTTTTTTTTTATAAAAATTCTTAGATAAAAATTAGTCTGTAATATTTGATAATTAATTTTTTAGTATAAATATTTTGTAAATTTTATTATGTAAAATAAGTCTATAATTTTAAAAAAAATAAAATAAAATACAAAATTATGCATATATTATACACATATTATTTTAAAAAATTTGTGCACATTAAAATTACTTTGTACATATGAATTGATTGTTAAGACAATCAGGTTCTGAGAATTTTTTAGCAAAATTGAGATTTTTATTACATTATAATTTTTAATGTTATTAGATTAAAATGTATTAAGCTCTTAATTTTAATTAAAAATTTCTCAAAACCTGATTTTTCTAGAAATTCTCCCATATATAATATCATAAAAATATGCATAATTTACACATAATTTTTGTTTAAATTTTACACATTGCTGTTAATCTGTTACTTTGTAATAGAGTAGATTATATGACATTACATAAATATCTAATAAAGAAAACTTGTATAATTAATTTTGAGAATTAAACTCAAATTTTATTGAAGACAAAATACTTTTTTAGTAATTTGTATAATATTACACAATTAATTAGTTTATTTATACAGGTAATCTAAGAATTATTATTATATATATTTTTTTATTATATAAGATTTTTTCTAAAAAGTCAGAAAATAGAGAAAATAAGAAAAAGAAAATTTTATAGTTTTGTTCTAATATATTAATTTAAATTTTTTTCAATAAATATAAAGATATAAATTACTGATATTTTTTTTTATTAATAGAAAGATGAAAATTTCACATATTATAGTATTATAGAATATGATAAAATAACATAATATTTTTTATATTAAATATAATTGAAATCTGATTATTTTTCACTTTATAAGAATAGTTTTTAATAATAGTTATACATGAATACTAATTAATTTTGATAATATCAAAATTAATTATGTTAATTTGTTATTTATTATAAATTATTAATAAATTAATCATATCTATCAAAATACAATTTAATTAGTAATTTATTAATTCATATTAAAGTATAATAATGATTACTTAATATTAATCAGATAATAATAAAAATTAATATAATATAATTTTGAAATAGTATTAAATCATAGTATACTTTATTATATAAAATTTTTTAAATTAAAAATGATTTTACAAAATATCTTCAATATATATGTCAATTCTTTAATTAAATCAATTTTTTATATTGATCTTTGCTAATTTCTAATATAACTATACTTTTTTTTTTAGATAAATTAAATAACTCATTAATAAAAGTTGATATTAGATTTTATAATACTTTTAAGATATCTTAATTTTTATA